CCCAGCAGGCGAGAGCCAATCGCTGCTCAGGACATCACACGCGGCCGGTGCCTCGCAGCCAATCAGCGCAGTACACTTCACCTTCGAGGCGGTGCGGGCGGCCAGTTAGGCTTCGGAACTGCAGCCGCAGCTCCCGGCCAATGAGAAGAGGAAACGTCAGATAGTCGCGCCGCCGCAGGAATCCGGCACCCCGGCATCCGCGAGTCGTAGAAAACTACGTAAACGGGTGGGGGGAAATGGTGCCAATAGAGGACACCCGAGGTACACGAAGTTTACCCCGCCCGCCTCCTCGGACTCTCCACCAATCACGAGGCTCCTCCTCCAGCACTAACCAATTGCGGGAGGGAGGTTTTATCTCGGTTACAAGTCTCGGAATTTCATTCATAATGAGCTACGCGCTGGATGCGGAGGGGCGGAGGGACTGGGGCGAAATGGGCGGGGACAATTACTCCAGGCCAATGGTATGGCGGACGCATCGCTTGGGAGATCTTATTTCACCTTCTCCTAACAAGCCAAGGAGAAAATTGTCTCTGTTTCAGAGGAGAGGCCGTGGAGGCAGAGAGACTTAGGTTCGGATTCAGCTCCCACCACTTCTTAGCGGTGAGAACACCTCCGTCCCTCGCCTCCCAGTTTAGCCAAGCTTCTTTATTTACGAACCTGAGGCAAAACATTTACTGGCAGTGGTGTGAAATTTTAAGGGGAGAAAAATTTGTAAACCGTCTGGCACACCGTAAGCACGCAATGAATAACAACTTATCACAGTTACGAGAACTCTTTGATTCCCCCCACCTACTTTTGCTTATCTCAGTGAACGCACTACCTAGTTGTTAACGACAAAATTCTAGGTGTCTTCCTTGATTCCTCTCCTGCATCCCCTATCCAGATCTTTGCTCTTAAACTATATCCTGAATCTGCCTACTACTGTACATCTCCCTCTCTGGGCCAAGTCACATCATCTCTTACCTGGCAAGGGCCTCCTAACTGGTCTCCCTGCCTCCACTCTTAATATCTCTTGTTCATTCCTGTCCCCCACCCCATGATTTTTTTTTACAAACATGTCAGATCGTGTCATTCCCCTGCTTCAGCCTCGAATGGCTTTTCAGTGCACTTAGAATAAAATCCCAACTTTTTATGCTAGTTTATAAAACCTTATATGTCTCAATAAAGCTGGAAGAAAATTTTTTAAAAACCTTATATGATCTGTACCCTTATCTAGTATACTCCTTACCATGTTCCAGCAAAACTGGTTTCCTTTCTCTTTTTTGAATACACCAAACTCATTCCTGCCAACGGCGTTTGTTCTAGCTGTTCTCTCTGCCTGAAACACTCTTCCCTTAGATCCTAACATGTGACTCCTTTTTAAACTCAGATATCAGCTTAAATGTCACTTCAGAGAAGACCAATCAATCAAAATTAGCCCCTGCTGAGTCCTTTTTTTTTTGACTTTTGCTGAAGAAGAGTCCCTCTGAGCTAACATCCGCTGCCAATCTTCCTCATCTTTTGTATGTGAGCCACCACCACTGCATGGCGACCGACAGACAAGTGTTGTAAGTCTGAGCCTGGGAACCGAACTCGGGCCACCAAAGTGGAGCACGCGGGACTTAACCACTAGGCCACCAGGGCTGGCCTGAGTCCTTATTCTTACACCACCCTATTTTATCTTATTGTTTCTACCCCTGACCCCCACACTCACACACGTGGGAATGCCATTTTCATGAGACCATGAATCTGGACTGTTCTCCTCACAGATGTATAGAACAGAACCTTAGAACAGAGACTGCCACCGAGTAAAAAGTTGCTTTGACTGTGATCTTCATATGCTGGCTTCTTATTCTTCAGGCCTCAGCTCAAATTTGGCACTGATCCCCTTACCCCCAAACTTCATAGCATTTATTAATATCTGAAATTATCCTATTTTATTTTCTTAATATGTATTATCTATTCTCCCTATTAAAATATACTCTCCAAGAAAGCAAGGACCTTATCTGTTTTGTTCACACTGTAATCCTAGTGCTTAGCACTGTGCCAGACACACAGTGGTGCTCAGTAAATACTTGTTGCAGAAAACAAAGGCATAGAGAGATGACAGAATCTGTTGAAGGTCACTGAGCTACTTAGTGGTGCAGCTTGGATCCTAACCCAGATCTGTTTGAATCCAAAGCCCATGCTCTTCACATAGTGACTCATGCAGAGGTAAGAGAAACACAGCTTACTGCTTTCAGGAAGTGCCTATTAGGGGAGAGAGGCCACGTAAAGGAAGAACTAAACTTCATTCGATGGCCTTATTTACCTTTGTATCTCCCACATCTAGAGAGTCCATAAACGAACTAAGAAAGCAGGAAATGGCCAAAAATCATGAAATGAAGGTTTAGAGGAAGGAGTGAGGTCTTCTGCTGGGTGGAATGCAAACAAGCTTCATGAAGGTGGTAACATGGCGAGAAAGCTAACAGAGTTAAGGAGCTAACCCTGGGGGCTCTCGCTGGCCTGGGTTTGTATCTTGGCTCCTCTCTTGCTGTGTGCCCTTAGGGGTGTGTTACTTTCACCTCTCTACGACCTAGTTTCCTCATCAGGAAAACAAATGTACTTAACTTAAAGGGCTCGTGGGAAGACTGAGATAATACAAAGGGGTTTTACACAGTGTCCAGCCCATAGTAAGCTCTCTATAAATGTAAGCTATTATCATTATTATTGCTGATCAAAGTGTGCTGACCCTACCAGCACCTATTGGCTGACCACAGTTCCGTGGAGCAACAGAAAACTTCCTACTCCCCTGAGTTGAAAGGCGCGACACCAGAAAGCGGTGGCGTCTGGCTCCATGTCCCAGCATCTCTTGGCCTCAGCCAAAGTTTCCGCAGACCGCGGGGGAAGCAGTCGGCCGCTCTAGCAGCGTAGTCCTCCGGGTCTCGGTGATGCGAGGCCGCGCGCTTGCGCGGTGGCTGAGGGGCGGGCCAGGCGAGCAGGGCGCGGCGGCGCGCGGAGGGTCGGCGGAGCGGCGCCTGCCTTCTCAGGTAACTCGCGCGTGCTGGCGCCTGGGAGGGAGGGGTAGGCCCGTTACGCTTCAGGTTCCGGCTGGGGAGGCTGCCTTCGCGCTCATCAGGTCTCGGGTCCGCCAAGCACTGTGACACGCGGGCCTTCTCTGTTGCCGAAGTCTGGTCGGGGCGCGTTGGCGGCCCTCGCCGCGCCCGCTCCCGGACCGCGTCCGCCCCTGGGACCGCGTCCTACCCCGGACAGCGTCCGAGGTGGCGGAGAAGCCTCAGGAGGACCGCCTTGATCCTCACGCCGATCTCCCCGCCCGAAAAACCCTGACCCCAGCGCACCCCGGGGAAGCTTTTGAAGAGGGAAAGAGCCCCGGTTTATGTATTTACGAATGTAGCCCTCTCGAATCTCGGAGGTAGAATAGACGGTTCATCCCCAGGAGCTGGCTTTTGATGGCACACTTTAGGGACAAGAGCTCAGGCCTCACGCAGCAGCCTATTTCCATTTGGGGGCGAACCAGGATCCTCCTCACGTCACTTCCATCGTCTGGTTTTACTCGGAGCGACGCTAAGCCATTCCCATGTTTAAAGACAGCTGCCATTTACCCTCTCACACCCTTCTTTTGGGTTCCTGCTCCCGTGTTCCTGGCCCTTATATGGCCTCACGTCTAAGGCCACTCGTTCTGGTAATCCTCTCCTGGATCCACGCCCATTTTTCAGAGATTCTCCCAAAACTGGGTTCTTAAAGTACATTTGTAAATGACACAGTTCTCAAATCAGACAGACTTGAATTCTAATCCAGGGCTGTGCCAACTTAAGTATGTGACTTTGGGTAAGTCCCTTCTCCAAGCCTCAGTTTTCTCATCTGAAAATGGGGATAATTGGGTGTATCTCCAAGCGGTTGTGAGGACGAAAGGAGGTGAAGAACACGAAATATTTAGCATGCTTCCTGGCACATAGTAAGCACTGAATTGATATCAACTATTTTTTCAACAGATAATTGCCCAAAGAAGGACGATTTTTTTAGAATCAAATGCAAAATATAATAATAGCAATAAAACATTTTTCATCACTCATGTAAGGATGGTTTTTTTTTTTTTTTTTGCTGAGGAAGATTGGCCCTGAGCTCACATCCATTGCCAGTCTTCCTCTTTTTGCTGAGGAAGATTTAGCTCTGGGTTAACATCTGTGCCCATCTTCCTCTGTTTTGTATATGGGATGTAGCCACAGTGTGGCTTGATGAGCAGTGTGTAGGTCTGGGCCAGGGATGCAAACCTGGGGGTCTGAACCTGCAAAACCCCAGGCCACTGAAGCAAAGCACGGGAACTTAACCACTAAGCCGCTGGGGCAGCCCCTAAGTATGGTTTTTTAAGTGATGTCACTTAATGCTGAGGAGTGTTCAATGAAGAGGGTACCTTGGTCAAATGTTGGTACAATTTGATACAATCATTTTGGCAAGCAGTGGAAATACATGTCAGGAGCTTCAGAAAGGTCAATTACTTCATTTCACAAATGCACATCTGAAAATTTTCTCTGGAAAATAATCATAATGCAGAAAATATGTAGAAAGATGGTAATTTAGCATTTTTTATAATAATGAAAACATTTAAACTTTTTATAGTGGAAAATTTCAACATACACAAAAGTAGAGTAGGTAAATGAACCCTCATGTGCTCATCATCCAGCTTCAACAATGATCAATATTTTGCCTATCTTGTTTTTGTGAAAAATTTTAAAACTACTAAATATCTGAAAATAGGAAAACAGTTGAGTAAACTGAGGTACATTTGTTTAGAGTGCTATGAAGCTTTTAAAATAATACAGATTGTATATATGGTATTATCGCAACTATGAAAATTCAAAAACCAACATCCAGTCTGTGTAGAAAAAAAGACAAGAAGGAAGTACAATAAAATATTAACTAATTTCCCTTTGATGGTGGGACTGTGGATGATTTCCTCCCCTTCTGTTTTTAGATATTTTATAAATATTCCATAAAATAGTGTATAGTTGTTATAACAAAGAAACAATAAAAAAAAAATCTAAAAATACCGCACCTGAACTAAGCGCAATAGAATATGCCAGAGCAGGTTCACTGTTACAGAGAATAAAGATGCTTTAACTTCATCTGTTTTTGCAGCCTACATTTACACAAGCATTCTTGTCTGCCACCTCCCGTTGGCATTTCAGATTGAGCTTATATGGTCGGCTAACAAATCTTTAACCAATTGTCCTCTATGTGTAAGTGATTTGACTCTGAAAATTTTATTCCCCTTATTTTGACTAGTGTTCGCCTAAGAGTAGAGCAAAATTTTCTATGATAGGCTGACCCTTTTCCCCATTTCTTCTTTTCTTCTTGCCCTGAGGAGGGATCCAACTTATACCTCTTGCATTTACACACTCTTTCTAAAGCAATCACTTGGAACAATTCAAGTAGGATAATTTTGTTTTATCACAAAATTTTTCTTGCTCAAATAGATTGTAATGAGATCTGACCAAAAATCTGTTCTGCTCTTGGTTGATGAACTAGATCTGCTTTTTAAACTGACATAGTACATTTAAAAACGTTAAGGGAGGGGTCATGTTACCAGAAAATGTACAAGTGAGTTTTGTTTGGAATCAGTTTGTGAAGAAACTTTGTTTCCTAGGTATGCAAAGAAACCTTTTCACACAGATGTCCTTAGAGATAACATGGATCAGTCCGGAGTTCTCCTCTGGGTGAAAGCAGAACCTTTTATAGTGGGTGCCTTGCAGGTGCCCCCTCCATCCAAGTTCAGTCTTCACTATCTCAGGAAGATATCTACCTATGTGCGAACCAGGGCCACAGAGAGAGCTTACCCACGCCTGTACTGGTCTACATGGAGGCACATCGCATGTGGGAAGCTGCAGTTGGCTAAGGATCTGGCGTGGCTTTACTTCGAAATATTTGATAGTCTTGCAGTGAAGACACCGGAGGAGCGCCTGGAATGGTCTGAGATACTGTCCAACTGCGTGTCTGAGGATGAAGTCGAAAAGCAAAGAAATCAGGTCTGGTTGTATATGTATATGTATATGTATATGTATGTATGTTATGTTTCCAAAACAATGTTACAGGAACCCTGTAATTGAAAGAGGGAAATATTTTCATTGACTTTAAAAATATTTTTAGGTGAGAGATTGCTTATGAACCACTGATATGTTACACTCAGAGCACCTTACTGTTTTTAAGTGAGCATCTTCTATGTGGTGGGACTCAAAGATGATTAGAACAGCGTCTCTGCCCTCATGGAGCTCACAGACTAGTAGGAGAGGCTGGTGTGTAAAAAGGTGCTATTTAATAGTGTGGAATGTACAATAATAAAAATATGTGTAAAGTACAGAAATAGAATAAAGAAGAGAATGATTAATTCTGATAATCAGGAAAGACTTGACAGAGAAAGTATATTAATCAAAGTAGGCTAATTATGTAGCAAGCAATCCCTGCATTTCAGTGGCTTAGCACAATCACAGTTTATTCTCATTCATGCAGCCATCCAACACAGGGCATCTGGTCAGATGAGTCTCTAGGCTGCTGTTGTCCAAGCAGTGACTCAGGGATCTAGGTGTCTTCTACCTTTGGAGCCACTATTATATTAGTCAGCCTTGCTGCCATTAAAAACAAACAAAAATGAAATTCCAGTGGCCTATAGTAACAAGGGTTTCTTTCTTGCTTATTTTACATGAAGGCTGCACCTTAGCTGTGGCTCTCTTCCGGGCTGTGGCTTGGCTCTATGTGTCTCCTCATTTGGGGACCCACGCTGAAGAAACAGCTTCTGTGTAGGTCGTAGCTGTTCTTGTGACAGAAGGGAAGAGCAACAGAGCAGCAGCAAACTCATGATATGCCTCTCAAAACTTTTGCTCCGAAGTGACACAAACTACAGCTTTCATTCCATTGGCTAAAGCTTTGTCACACGTCCATGCCTAAAATCAATAAGATGGGAAGGTAAACTACCTCATGGGAGCTAGGGAAATGCCATGGCCATGAGTAGAGTCGTATAAGTCTCTCGGAGGATGGGGAAGCGAACAGTTGCAAATATAATACAATTTGCCACAGCCATGCCCAGCAGGACCTCAGAGTCCTTCACTTCCATTTCTTTTGGGAGAGTTTTTGGGAGGCTTGAAAGTGGTATACATAAATCCACCCACATTCCATTGACTATAACCCGGTTATACCATATTTAACTTCAAGGGAAGCTGGGAAGTGTCATCTAATTATGTGCCCAACAAGAAAAGAAAAGGTAATTAGCATCTAGCCAGTCTCTACCACATGGGGAAATATGTAAACAAGGTTTTGGAAATTGAAAAAAGGTTTGGCCAGCAACCAGGAGGGGAAGGGCATTATAGTTATTCATTAATTAAACATTTATTGAGTGCCTCCTATGTGCTAAGTACAATAGTGGATGCTGTGGATACAGAGGTGAATCAAACCTTCAAGAAGCTCCAAATTTTTTGAGTGCTCATTATGTGCTAGATTCTGTGCTAGTTACTAGGAATATAAATATGAAAAAGACAAGGATCTTACAGTCTCACCGGGAGGCAGGTATATGAAGGAATGATGATAATATAACAAATAGTTGTTAAATAAAAGTATGTATAAAATCAGGGAATTATGCTGAGTGAAAAAAAGCCAATCCCAAGAGGTTACATACTGTATGATTCCATTTATATAACATTCTTGAAATGACAAAATTATATGAATAGAGAACAGATAAGTGGTTGTCAGGGTTAAGGAAGGGGTGAGGGAAGTGGGTGTGGCTATAAAAGGGCAACATGAGAGTTCCTTGTGTTGATGGGAATGTCCTGTACCTTGACTGCATCAGTGTCAATACCCTGGTTGGACTATAGTTTTGCAAGATGGGAAACTGGGTAAAGTGTACATGGGATCTCTCTATTAGTTCTTAGAGCTGCATGTAAATCTACAGTTATCTCAAAAAGTTTAATTAAGAAAGTAAAAATTTTTAAAAATATGTAGATTAATGGGGTTCCACATGGACAGTTGATCGAATAGGTCTGGGTGATCCTGAGAATCTGTATTTTTTTATTTGTTTTGTTTTTTGGGGGGAACATTAGCCCTGAGCTAACATCTATCATCAGTCCTCCTCTCTTTATTGCTCTTTTCATCTTCCTCTACTTTATATGGGACACCGCCACAGCATGTTTTTGATAAGCAGTGTGTAGGTCCATGCCTGGGATCTGAACCTGCGGACCCCGGGCCACCGAATTGGAGCGCGCGAACTTAAGAGCTATACCCACTAGGCCAGCCCCTGAGAATCTGTATTTTTAGGTTCCTACGAGAATGTGTATTTTAAGTTTTAGGTATAGCAATTTTTAGCTAGGTTGGGAATCAGTGAATATAGCTATATTCTCAGATGTATTACTTCACTTTTTTGGCTCTCCTGTGTGTGTGTGGGAATGGGTGTATGAGGATAATCATGAGCTTCAAATCCTGAGCTTCAAACCATACCATCTTCAAATAAGGAATGACTTATAAACATCTATCAGGCCAGTAGCATTTTTTTTTTAAGTCAAACACCCCTGTAAGAATTTGATGAAAATCTGAGGCCTATTCCCCCACAAAATGCACATACACCAAAAAATTACATACAATTTCAGGCATTGCACTGGTATCCTAAACTTTCTTGATAAATCTGTGAGCCTTAGGTTAAACTAAGCTCTGTGTCTTGACTAAATTTTCTTCTTCCTTTCCTCTATTTATTTATTTATCCAAATACTAAGGGCTTTTTTTTAACTATAATTTTAAACTGCTGAAATAATATATTTTTAAAAGTATGTCCTTCATCCTTTCTTCTTCATGAGTTTTGGGAAAGAATGTCTGTGGCCATAGATGCTACATAGCTTTCCAAGATAAGTGACTCCAGTTTAATTAGTTTTAGAAACTCTTACATCTGGGTGTCAGAGACATATGTATCAAATTCAGCATTTCTACATTTGTCTTCTTAGGATCAGCAAACTGTTGTGAGTTTGTTTTGCTGTATCTCCTGAGTCCTAGACTAGTGATTGATGTGGTTTTAGGACATGTGCTCATCATTTATTTTCTTCTTGGACAGCTTTCAGTGGACACCCTACAGTTTCTGCTCTTCTTATACATCCAGCAGTTAAACAAGGTCTCCTTGAGGACATCTTTGATTGGAGAAGAGTGGCCTAGTCCCAGAAACAGATCTCAGTCTCCTGACCTGACTGAAAAATCCAGTTGTCATAATAAGGTACCATTTAAATTTTGGCCTTTTTCTCTGAAAGGGATAATTTGTGAGGGAAATGGTTTGCCTTCATTAAAAATTATGTTGAGATTACTTATATAAGCCAGTGATTTGCTGGATTGTTTTACTTTTTACTTTTTTTCCTAATTATAAAACAAAATCAATATGTGCAATCTTAAAACAGAGAAGTGATTTCAGTTCCTTCAACAACACAAAAATTACTTACATGATTTTTGGGCAAATTATTCACTGTACTCTTGTTAGCATTCCCATTTTTGCAAATGTTAATGAATTTGAATCTACTTACTTGACTAAGGGTAAATGAGAAGATGTAGTGTTTGCAAAGTCTGTTGAAATATACTGAAAAAATTTCTATGAAAATATCTTCTCCTATGTTTAAATAGTATGCTTAAGTATACTTAAGCTCAGCATGCTTAAGTAATTATATACGATATGACCTAGAAGTTATATTTAATTGCTCACATTGTAAGTTTTAGAAAATGTCTTATTTCTTCATGTTTTTGTAAAGAAAACCGAAATATTTTTACCTATTTATGTAAACGTATTTTGAAAACATTTAAAATGTAGATCTCAGTGTTATTGCCACGTGCAGGCTCTTTAAAAATGTTCTGAGGCTGAAAAAAAACCTCTCTGATGTTTGGCACTTTTATAATCTCCTTTTTCAAATGAATCTGTCCACTCTTTTATTCCATGATGCTGTTCCCTCCTGGTTCTGCTTCTGATTTTTCCTTCTCACTCGTCTTCATGAGCCTCTCTTCCCCTGGCCCTTACAGGCCGCTGTTCCCCCAGGATTCTGTCTGTGACAATTTTGTCTTCTCACTTGACATATTTATTCAACGTAATTCTTTCTCTTCCCATGACTTCATATATCTCAGTGGCTCCTGAGTTTATCTCCGTTCTAGATTTCTCTCTTCACAAAGATACCCTATCTATACTTTAAATTCAGAATGTCCAAGTGCAGATGTCTTAGAAATGCCAATCATTGCCTGCTCTTTTCACACGTAGTTCTTCTGAATGGGCACCATGTAGAGATGGTGTTTTGAACTAAGGTAGCCTGCGTTCATATTGGCTCTGCCACTTAATATCACATGATTTTAGGCAAGTCAGTTAACTTCTCTAGGCCTTGGCTTCCCTTCTCTAAATGGTAATGATGGTACCTATTTCGAAATGGCTATGAGAATTCAGTCATTGACTTGTTGCGTAGTAAGCACCAGTAAATGGTGACTAGTTTGTGCTATAGCATAACCTCTACCAACAACTGATTGGACCAGGGATGGATACTTGACCAGAGTAACCCATTCATAGGTATGTATTTAAAATTGGTCTGATTTGAACTGATGACCTGGCCCAATCAGTATCCCCAGAGACTGAAGAAATTACACAGTTGGTGATGGTTGCTTGTGCGGACAGTTCATGTGGCATTGGAACCAGAATAGCCAGCATGTTCATGAGTGACCTGGAGTTATGAGGGATTAGAAACTCTGAGGTAATCAGAGAAAAAGACGAGAATGGAACAGACATGCGGAGAGACACTGGCCCCTGAGGAAGAACCACGTTCAGGATGGCTTTACAGTTCTGATGAGGCCTACCTGTACTTCAGTTTGGGAGATGACTGTGTGTCCCTATGGTAAAATCTCCCTTTACTTGAATTAAATTGTATTCCCTGTGCCAGTGAAAGTTACCACCAGCCACCCATGCTCTCTCTCTCACCACCTATATCTAGTTAGTTGTCAAGTCTTACTGATTCTGCTTCCAAAATAACTCTTTAAAAATCTCTCCCTTTTCTTCCTCTTATATAGGCCCTAATGACTTTTTTTTTTGCCTTGATTTCTGTAATTAGGTCCTACCTGGTCACTCTGATTTTAGCCTGTTGTCCACCTACTACATTGGACTTTCTAAAGTGCAGATGGATTATATCCATCTCCTATTGAAACTTATCAGTGAAATCTCATTGTCATCGTTGTTTTCATCTTGTACTCCATGGAGCCACCTCAGGGCCTGCTATCGGGGAGGGGGATGCCCCAAGAGGGAGGAAGAGCACATGAGGCTGTGGACAGCTTTGCTTTGATATGTTCTTTGGCATCCAAATGAGAGTTTATTAAAAAGAAAAAAAGATGGGGGCTGGCCCAGTGGTGTAGTGGTTAAGCTCGGCAGGCTCTGCTTCAGCAGTCCAGATTTGCGGGTTTGGATCCTGGGCGTGGACCTATATCACTCATGAAGCCATTCTGTGGCAACAACCCACATATAAAATAGAGAAAGATTGGCACAGATGTTAACCACGGCCAATCTTCCTCACCAAAAAAAAAGAAAAAGGTATAGCTATTTAGAAAATAGTTTGAAAGTCCCTGGCATACAAAATAAAGTCCAGATGTTTCAATATTTTATATTTCATACAAGGCCTTTCATGATTGGTCCCTGCCTACTATTTTAACTTCACCTGTCACTGCCCAGCATGCTTCCTACACCCTACTCAGAACTTCCAGTTCTCTGAACACAGCAGGTAATTTTACTCCTATGAGCCTTTGCATATGCTGTTCCCTAGGCCTAGAATGCCTTTTTTTCCTTATCTGTTTGCATAACTACCAACATCAATCAAAAATCTATTCAAACAGCACTCCACTAGGAGTTTTCTCCTCAAGTGGAGTTTGTTGTTCCTCTCATGCTCATAGAATGTCTTTACAAATTTCTGCTGTAGGTCTTATCTCATTGTGTTATAGTTATTTGTTTATATTGTCTTTTCACTACATAGACTCTGAATTCCTGGAGGACAGGAACTTTGTCTTATTCAATTTGCGTAATTTATCGTTATCACTACTCATACGACATGAGAGGTATTCAAAAAATATCTGTCAAATGAATGAGCCAAGTCATTGGGACATCTGCCAACTCAAAGCTTAGTCCCACAGTTATAACTTCTCTTAAATCTAGTTACTGTAAGATCTATTATCTTGTTTCATCCAGTGGAATTTGAAATTCCTTCTGTAATTTGAGAAGGTAAATAAAGAAACCCAGTGCTTCATCGAATGAATGTCTGAGGTGGTTATTTTTGTGTTTGACCTGAAACTTTTAGAGTACTTACTAGCTGTGTGACCTTGGGCAAGTTTCTTAACCTATTTCTATACCTCCATTTCCTCATCTGCTAAATAGGCATGATAATGGCATCTATTGTAAGATTGTTGCTAAGATTAAATATGTTAAAGTTTGTATAACCCTTAGTGCTTGGCACACACTAAGGATTTGCTATTAGTATTCTTTTTGAATTAGCTAAAGTGGGGAGAGAATCTGTTTATACATATCACATTCACAAAAAATCTACATAAGGTTTATATAGCCACCTTAAATGCTTTTTGGGGATGAGGCAAAGTATAAATACAAAATAATTAAAATATAAAAGTTTCAGGTCTTGTAGAATCTCTTTGTTCTGTTAAGAGTGCTTTATTTTGATATTTTTTAGAACTGGAATGATTACAGTCACCAAGCTTTTGTCTATGATCATCTGTCAGATCTCCTTGAGCTGCTTTTAGATCCAGAACAACTCACTGCATCATTTCATTCAACCCATAGTAGTCTAGTCTCTCGAGAAGCTATTGTGGCGCTCAGCTTTCTTATTGAAGGTACAGTGAGTAGAGCTGGGAAGATCTATCCGCTTCATGAACTTGCACTGTGGCAACCACTGCATGCAGAAAGTGGCTTCTCAAAGATCTCTAAGACCTTTTCTTTCTACAAGCTGGAAGCCTGGTTGAGAGCCTGTTTGACTGGGAATCCATTTGGTACATCTGCTTGCCTCAAGTCTGGAAAGAAATTGGCTTGGGCTCACCAAGGTAGTTTTTAATATTTTCATCTATGTTAAATTGAATGACAAGTTAAGGAACCTGGTGTTTTCTGGTGTATTAATGATCACACATCTTCTGTAGATGACCTAAAAAATATTGCTACTATAAAAGAGAAAAGGGGAACATCTCTATTTTGTATACGGCTTTTTCTCTCAAGGCAGCAACAGTCTGAGAGAGTTGACTTGTTAGTCCAGGTTGTTTTGGCTGCAGTTAACAGAAACGCCACCTTCAGTTAGATCCTCCCTTTGCTCTGCTTTTCTCTTTTCTGACTCTTTCTCCCTTTCACTCTCACATGCTCGTTTGCTTGAGGCTTGCATATTTTCTATGCACCAGAGCAGAATTTAGCCATTCCACAGTTACAACCTCAGAGAGTTGGTGTAGAGGTGAGCTTCTTTTTAGTTACACAGACACAAGCAGACTAGATATTTCTAAATTGGAAATTTAAATTTACAGTAGAGAGAATCTGGCCTTGGTTGCATCGGGTATCTATTCCCAATAGTCCAGCGATGGCTAAAGGGATAGGTTCAGGTGCTAATTAATGACTTCTTGGGGCTCAGGTACAAGTTTTTAGAGAAGAGGAGCCCAGGTATAAGTTTAAAGAGAAGTGCCTGCACTGAGGCAAATGCCAAGCAAAATTAATCAAAAAAACTAGAATATACTTCCACAATCTCTGAATTTCAAAGGTAAAGAAAAAACAGATTCTGTGAAAATGTAAAAAAAATCAGTTTTGTATCAAATTTTTATAATACTAAAAAACAGAAAATGGTTGAGCAACATCTACAGAATCTTGAGCAGAAAGATTGTGATCTAAGAATTCTATATCCAAACAAGCTGTTGGTCTAGTATGATGTCAAAGACTCTCAGATATGTAAGGCTCCCATAAATATATAGGAGATAACTACATAATTCTTGATGTTGATAAAAGAATATAGGTTCAAGTAAGTTTTTAGACGTTGTTAGGGTAGGAACTAGTAGGAAAAAGAAGGATATCTAACCTCCTAGGATTATTTTAAAATGTTAACAGTTGTAGATAGGATTACAAATTATTTTTATCTTATTTTACTACTAGTATTTAACATTTTTCTACAATAACCATGTATTACTTATCTAATAAAAGGAAACAATAAGAATTATTTTAAAAGAATAGTAGCATGCTTTTGTGACCTCTCCACATTTGGCCAGTATTCTTTACAAGGGTGTCCTGATGGCTTGCAGGGAAGTACAGTCTGAGAAGCCAATCAATCACATAATAGCGGGACTGTGTTAGGAGGGCAACAGATATTTTGAGTATCAGTTTGTACAAGGCACTGTGTACGAGAGGATGATGTGCTCTCAGTTAGTAATGATCTTGGCAGTAAAGACATGAACCCAAATAGAATTCATGGAATGATGTGGTAAGTAACTTAGGAGGGGTTCATAATTAGTACTATGGCAATTTAAAGAGATTATTTAAGGATTGGGATGATCAATTAAGGCATCTTACAGGAGAAGATACTTGAGTTGGGCCGGCTGTGCCACTTATTACTAGCCATATGACCTTAGGCACATTACTTAACTTGAAGGGTAGACATGAAAAAAATCTTAGATCTATAGGCAATCTTGAATGGATTATGTTTTAAAAATTTGTTATAACAAAATATTATGAAATATTGCAAGTATACAGAAAAGCAGAGAATAGTGTAGCAAATACCTCTTTACCCAACACCTAGATCTAACATTCTTTTAAACCTCACATGTATCTAATTTTAGACATGTAGACATGTGTAACCTCATATGGTTGTTTATTTTTCTGTGATTTGAAACTATCTCATTTATTTATATTTTTCTTAAATAGTTGAAGGGACGACCAAAAGAGCTAAGATTGCTTGTAACACTCATGTGGCCCCTAGGATGCACCGCATGGTGGTGATGAGCCAGGTTTACAAGCAGACATTGGCCAAGAGCTCAGATACTCTGGTGGGAGCACATGTAAAGATTCATCGTTGCAACGAATCTTTTATATATCTGCTCTCTCCCTTACGGTAAGCTCAGTCTTCGTAGTATTCTGACATTTTCACATGTTCTTTGGAGTAGGATTGATCCATTTTTTGCCATCAGAGAATAATATTGTAGTCAAATATTTTTTTATCTTATTCTCATTCAGAGGAATTGACCTCATTTTTTCATTTTTCAGATCTGTGACAATTGAGAAGTGCAGGAATAGCACCTTTGTCCTAGGCCCTGTACAGACTGCTCTTCACCTCCACAGCTGTGACAACATTAAAGTCATTGCTGTTTGCCGTCATTTGTCCATCTCTTCTACAACAGGTTGCGTCTTTCACATTCTGACGCCTACACGCCCACTTATTCTCTCTGGGAACCAGACAGCAACTTTTGCCCCTTTTCATACTCATTACCCAATGCTGGAGGACCATATGGCCAGGACCGGCCTTGCTACAGTGCCTAACTATTGGGATAAACCAATGATTGTGTGCAGAGAGAACAGCGACACTAGTGTCTTCCGACTCTTACCACCTTGCGAATTCTACATATTTATTATTCCCTTTGAAATGGAAGGGGACACAACAGAGATACCTGGGGGTCTTCCATCTGCATATCAGAAAGCACTGGGTCAAAGAGAGCAGAAGATACAGATCTGGCAGAAAATTGTGAAGGAGGCTCATTTGACAAAGTGAGTGTTTTCTAGAAGTAATAATTTGTCCTATGTAAAACTCTATGGGAAAGCAAATTAACCTGCACATGTTTACAGCTGTGCTAAAGTAATAAAAAAGGTATAGTGTGTCTTTTGTTAAGGCTTAGGTTCCAGGTCAGTATTCCAGGCACTGTTTGGTTGCAGGGTAGGAGCGAGTGGATACTCAAATGTTAGACTCCGTTCTTTTAAGAAGCTTAAGTTTAGTTAAGGCAGATGTAAGACATATGAATGAAAATATGCCACATAATCCAATACGTAAATGGATTCATCTTAGTTTTTAATTTACTTCTCTACACTATACTAGCGGGTTCCCAAACTGGGTTGTACGTTAGAATCATCCAAGGAACTTTTTAAAAATACAGATTTCCTGGCTTCACTACGCCACAGACAGACTTTCCAAGGATGGATTCCTAATGCTGGTCCATTGACTAATGCCAGTTTTTGTCAAAGTTTTCCCTAATCCATGGTAAAATGTGAAAAATAAGTACCATATTTTTAAATAAAGCTAAATTTAGTCAATTTAAAATATTGTCTTTTATTCTGAGATTATTTCCTTCCTACTTTGGGGGTACTAAAATATCTTCTTTTTAATAACATGCTTGTGATAGTAGATGGTTGTGGTTTATTATGTTCACCACAAAATTTTACTTTGAAGGTGTTGGTCTTTGAACTCTGGAAGCCAGGGCACACTGTATGGTTTATAGAGATATAAACCATATAGTGTGGGTAGTCAGGGAAGATTTATGGAGGAAGTAGAATTTGTGTTGGACCTTGAAGAATGAGCAGAGTTTGGATAGGAAGTGAGGACTGGGCAGAATACTTTTAACAGCAGTAGAGGAGCAGATGTGAAAGCAGAAGCAGCCCTTAGGTGTTCTGGAAATAAATTGCTGAAACAGGATTCTGGGTGTAGAAAAGTGGTATTTAAGGTTGAATGGGTAGATTGAGCCAGATTATGCAGACTTGAATGCCAGGCAGTGAAAGTTAGCATTAAATGGAGTTAAGCAATAGGAACCATTAAGGAGTTCTGAACAATGGACTGAAGTTCAGAAATCTATTTCATCTATTCCGGAACATTTATAGAATGCCTATAATATGCAAACCATTTTATTAGATTCTATGGCAGATTAACAAATGTGATTGGCACATTTGAAGTAAGATCCCCTGATTAGGGAGTTTTGAAAGGGGGAAGTCAGGGTGATATTGCGATAGTCTAGACCAAGAAACTGGACTAGAGTGGAGAGAAAGGGGGTGGAGACCAGAAATATTTTGACAGGAGGCAGGACTTGGTGCAAGATTTCGTGAAAAAGATGAAAATCAAAGATGACTCCAAAAATTGGAGCCCAGCTTAGAAACTTTTGATTAATCAATTTTCTTCTGGACAGAAGAGCCTATACAACTTAAAATTAGTGGATACTCAGAATAAGTAATTATTGTTTGTACAAGTATTTTGGTACTTAATCAAATTTTATTTGTTAGAGATTTTAGGAGAGGAAAATAGGAAACATAATAATATACCAAAAATGAAGCATTGCTTCTTCTACAACATTGTCCATTTCAAAGCTGGAGCTAGTTTGAGAAAAGGGTATCAAGTTCTTTTTGGGGGATCTTTACATGAAATGTCATATGTCCTGATAATATCCTGATCATTATGATCCTTTTCCTTAAAACTTAGAAAAACTCTTACTTTAATAATTGGATTCCATTTGCCTGGTATTAGTTGTTTTCTTCTGGTTGTCAATATCTTAGAAGCAGTCATTCCAAAATGTTTCTATTTCTGATGATCCAGAACTGCTTTTTGACATGTGAGTAAAAATGCTTAATTAGCTTTGTTATTTTTATTAGATTTTAAAATTAGTGTTCTTGAAAGTACTCAGACTCAAGAATTAGTAATGACTGTGCTACTTACTGTATTACATTGAGTGTGTCATTTAACCTCTGTAGCTCTTAATTGTGTCATATATAAAATATATGTTTATTTTCCACCTGAGGAGATTGATGTGAAGGTTTAATAAGATAGCTTATAGTAGTGGTGTGTGTGTGTGTGAGACTCCGTGTAGTGGTGTATGTTGTACTGTGTGTAGTAGTATGAATGTAAGACACTCTGTTTAGTGATGTGTTGGTGAGACACATCTTCTGGGTGAGATTGTTTACCCAGAATATCTGAGACCTGACCTGTTAGAAGAGAACTTCGTAAGAGAAATAGTAATTGAAAAATGACTTGATCCAGCCATGGTATTTTTTGGATGCATTCTTGTGGCTTTGCTCTCATCATATAGATCGAGGAATGAAATATATAATATATAGTTACACCATTGCATTTGGACTCTTTAAGACAGTTGCTGCCTGCCAAAAAATATAAAGATCAATAACAGTCACAACTCATGCTTTACCTGGGAATCCATTATGATAGTACTGCTGTTATCTGTTACAAACATTCTGCCTGGTTTGTATCTCATGGATTGAGCCACCAAGATACTTAAATAAATGTTGATTCTGAATCATAATGTATTCAAGCAATGAGATCTATGATAACAGTAGAAACAAGGAAAAGCACTCAATATTTAACTTTGGGAGTATAGGAAGATGGAAGAATTATTGACCAATTTGAAAACAAACTGCCAACACGATCCTTTAAAGGTAATCAATTAGATCATGTCGTTTCCCTCTAATGGCTTCTCATTATACTTAGAATAAAATCTCAAACCTTCACTATACCAACCAGGCCCTCTCTGCCTCATTTTCTGCCATTCTTTTCCTTATTCACGCTCCTCCCGTCACACAACAGTCTTCTTGCTTTTACTTAGTCATCGTTCTCCGGCCAAAGACCCCAGGACTGTATCTGTAGAATGAAGTTAGATTTTATTACTTATTGCAAGGAAGAAGAAAACTTGTTTCATTTCAGTAAAAGCGTGTTAAAAAGAACTTACAATTGGATTTTGGCTTGTGTGAGGTGATTTTGGAGAGGATTCTAGGGAAGCAAGGCTTTGTTGTGGGTCGGATACTATCTGGAAGCAAGGGTAATTCTGTGATGTTATCTTAATAATTTTTCTGTCAAAGACAAGAGAAATAAAGTGGGGCTACAACTATAATTGTAAAGAAGCAACAGTCACTCATTAGCCAGGAAAGGGTGATGTTTGGTCATTTGTATGCTTTGGACCACAAAATGTGTTTGTTTTTTGTCTTGACTGAGGTATGATTATGCGGTAGTCTTGTTCTTACCTTGATCTATCATCATCCCATAGTGGCCTTGTCTAATGTTGTTCTGTGGAATGTTTATGTTCTTTATATTCAACAGGAGAACACCACGGCCAGGCCACATCCTAGCTACGCTAAGTCCTAGCTGAGAGTGCTAAGCTAGCTCCTGGCTGTCAGGACCTCCTCTTCTTTCTTGTCTTGAACATGTTAAATATGCTCTCACTTTACAGCCTTTGCACTTTTTGTTTCCTCTGCCTGGAATCTTCTTCTCCAGATATTTATTTTGCTTAATCCATCACTTCATTCAGACCTCTGCTTAAGTGTCATCTAAGGCTTTCTCTGTCCATTCTTTTTCTAAAGTAGTATTTCCAATTCTCTCCATTCCCTTACCCCACTGTATTTTTCCCCAAGGCACTTATAACAACTTAAGTTTATATATATTTATTTTGTTCATTTCCTGTCTTCCCTACTTCCCTCACAAGGAGCATAGACTACCTAGGTCACAATGTGAATGTGCCCTCTGGAGTTGTGCACTGCAAACCTGCCCAGACAGTGGCCTTTTCTCTTTTCTTTACACGTTTATCCCCATCATCAGAACACTACCCAGAGTCACTTAGTCCTCAGTAAATATCTGCTGAGTGAATAACCACCACAGTAGAACAAAATATATAATTTTTGTAATATATATCTTTGTAAAGATAAATCTTTACAAAGAGGGCATTGTATCTGACCAATCTTTTTTTTTTTTTTTTTTTTTTGTGGTGATCCAATGTATAGAACTGAACAGAGCAGTTATTTGGAGAGAACAAATGGATAACTGGAAATAATTTAACTTTTATCCCTTTAGAGTGTTTTATAATCACTTGGAGTAAAATTAATATGAATTAGTGTTCTTATATTCTTTTTGCTCTCAATTGCAATTTTAGGGATCAAAGGAAGCAGTTCCAGGTACTTGTGGAGAACAAGTTTTATGAGTGGCTGATTCACACAGGACATCGCCAACAGCTGGACAGCCTCGTGCCCCCTGCAGCAGGCTCCAAACAAGCAGCAGGATGAGTAAGACTCCTGCATCCAAACACTGGCAGGCATTTATAATGTAGACGACCTAAAACAAATTATTTTGGGGGAATCTTATAAGATACAGAAAAACTGCACAGAATATTATGTTACCCACCATTGCCAATTTTGTTCCACCACTCCCACTAGCATATACAGACCTTTACATACTCATATTTACTGTGTTTTATAGTGAGAAGACCAACCAAAATATTCAGGTGGAGCCTACAGAATTATGAGCAAATATAACGGCCAAGTTGTGTCTTTTTCACTTCTTGCCTGGCACAAGTTGTACTGTCCAAAGATACGACTTTCCCCCTACATAGCTTTAAGTTTTATTCCCCCTTCCTAACACTTCTTTCCTCTTTCCCATCACCCCACACACAAATCAATTAGTAAATTAGCTGATCTTTGTTAATTGCACATACGAGCATTAATAAATTACCAGGATTAATCCAAATGAATATTTGAAGACTGAACTCTAGAAAATCGCAGACTCAATAGAAGAGAACATGGATACAGACAAATTTACTGGAAGTTGTTTAATCCAAATACATAGTATTATTTTTTTATATAAATTAGTTTATTTTTCTATTTTAAAGTATTTTTAAAGACTAACAATAGAAAAACAGACAAAGGACATAGGTAGTTATTGAAAAATGCTTATAAACATGAAGATGCTCACTTTCACTTAAAGAAGCGTAAGATACTACTTTTCATCTGTCAGATTGGCAAGGATCAGAAGCTGGTAGTTTATAGCACTGGGAAGACATTTCACCTACCATTGGGGAAGGTGCAAATTTGTGCAACCTCTTTGGAAGATAGTTTGACAAAATCAGAATTGAAAATGCTCACATTCTTTGACTTAGCAATTTCACTTCTTAGAATTTACCTTACAGATACACTCATGTATATAAAGATCTGTTTAAAAAAGATGTTCATTGCAGCATTATTTGAAATAGCTGTAGACTGGGAACAACCCAGATGCTTCTCAGTAGAGGGCTGGTGCCTAATGAACTGCTTCATCCGTGTAATGGAATTCATCTGTAAAAAGAACGAGGTGTATTTCTATGCACTGATATTGAAGGATCTCTAAGGCGGGGCGTTGGGGGTGAAGGCCAAAGGTGGGGAGAATAAAATGTTGCCTTGTATGTTTGAAAAAAGAGGGATTATCACCCATATTTATATGCTAATTATATGCCATAAAAATTTCTGAAAAGATATAAAGAAATTATTATTAGTGTTTGAGGAATGAGACTGGTTGTCTAGGATAGGAGAAAACTTTTTTTTTTTTCTTTTTTTCTCCCCAAAGCCCCAGTAGATAGTTGTATGTCATAGTTGCACATCCTTCTAGTTGCTGTATGTGGGACGCAGCCTCAGCATGGCCGGAGAAGCGGTGCGTTGGTGCGCACCTGGGATCCGAACCCCGGCCGCCAGTAGTGGAGTGCGCGCACTTAACCGCTAAGCCATGGGTCCAGCCCTGGTAGGAGAAAACTTATTCTTAATTTTTATTGAGGTATAATTCACATACCATAAACACCTTTTCAAAGTGAGGTATTCATCGGCTTTTATTATATTCACAAGTTTGTGCAACCATCACCATTAACAAGTCCAGAACATGATTGTCACCCTAAAAATGAACCCCATACACGTTGACAGTCACTCCTCATTCCTCCAACCCCTAGTATCTCCTCTTCCCCCCAGTCCCAGGCAACCACTTATCTACTTTTGGTCTTTTAATTTGTCAACTCTGGTCATTTCATATAAATGGAATCAAACAACATGTGGCCTTTGGTCTGGCCACATGTGGTCTGGCTTCTTTCACTTAGTATAATGTTTTCAAGGTTCATGTTGTAGTATGTATTGGTACATCATACCTTTTTATGGCTGGCTAGTATTCCATTGTATGGATATACTACACTTTGTTTATCTCTTCCTCAGTTGATGGACATTTGAGTTGTTTCCACTTTTCAGCAATTGTCAATAATGCTGCTATGTACTTTGGTGAACAAGTTTTTGTGTAGACATGATTTCATTTCTCTTAGGTATATACCTAGGAGTAGAATTGCAGGTTATATGTTTAACTTTTTGAGAAACTGCTGAACTGTTTTCCAAAGGTGCAAAAACTTATTCTTTATTGTTTACCTTATGTATTGTTTACATTTTTAAAGTGTGTATTACCTTTTATAAATAAATAATTTTACAATATTTAGTTAATAAATGCTGAGATTAAGAATTGGAAATCTGTTGAAGATTATGTAAAGGAAATGGGAACTATAAGAGGATAAAATTTTAGTTTAGACTAATCTCGATATGTAGCCTGCTGCATTTTTTATCTATGTATGAATTTCTTTCTTTTTTTTTTTTTGTTTTGTGAGGAAGATCAGCCCTGAGCTAACATCCATGCCAATCCTCCTCTTTTTACTGAGGAAGACCGGCCCTGAGCTAACATCTATTGCCAATCCTCCTCCTTTTTTTGCCCCCTTTTTCTCCCCAAAGCCCCAGTAGATAGTTGTATGTCATAGCTGCACATCCTTCTAGTTGCTGTATGTGGGACACAGCCTCAGCATGGCCGGAGAAGCGGTGCATCGGGGCACGCCCGGGATCCGAACCCGGGCCGCCAGTAGCGGAGCGCGCGCACTTAACCGCTAAGCCATGGGGCCGGCGCCTATGTATGAATTTCTTTTCTTCTATTTTGGACTAATGTGACTCTCAGAAAAAAGGAATATAATTAACTTTAAACTTTGTATTTTATTACTCTAAACTATCATCTGACCTTGATTTATGTGATTTTATAAGTGCAAGGTTTTTTTCTTATTATTTGCATGAAAGCAATAGAAAATTAAGTTATTAATATTTTTCTTTTGTTAACCTTCAGGGCCCTGGAAACATGAGGATGAATGGAAGATGGTGCACATCTTGAAATTAAATTGAGAAAGTGCTCTTGCTGCTTAAGAGACTTTGGGGCTTTTTCTTTCTATTTAAGACCTTTCCTTAATTTCTATTCCATACTCATTTATTGCTGTTTACTTGAATTTTAGCTAAACTTCTGACTGTAATATAAACCTATTGTTTATAGAACCTCAGAAGGTTCATCTTTGTGATGCCAAAATGAAAAACTTGATGAAGGCAATTCCATTGTGTATATGTTGATATTAAAGTTATTGAGTGTTGATTTACAAGTAAACTTCGCATTTTAATTTGCATCATGAAAGGGTTTCATCCTTTCTAGATTAAATAGGAGTTTTATAGTTCTTTGTAACTATTTAAAAGGAAATTGCTACTCCTTTAAAAAATAGCTGGAATGAAAGTGTGATTTGTTGGTATATAAATATTGCAGAAATAGTTTTATACAAAGATATTTTAGTCCTTAAAGTATGAAACAATGAAATTGTGTAAAATCTTTATTTTTCATTTTCTGCTTTAAATTTTCAATAAACAAACTCTAAAAATAATTTTCTGCTTCTAACGAAAAGATAAAGCTGTACTTTTAAGTTTAGAAAAGTTTTCCAATGTCATTCTGTGATGTTATATCAAAATAAAGTTTACATTTGATTGGGAAAGCTGTGTTCTTTAAGATAAAGGAAAGCAATTCTCAATTTAATAAAATGAAGCTGATTGCTGATACACATTGTGTCATATGCTCACTGGCCATTTAATTAGTAATTATATCAAAAAAGGGCTTGATCTTTTATTTCTAAAATGAAAATTAACCCCCAGAATGGGTGTTAATTCTAATTGAGGTTTTCATAGTTTTTATATTAAAATGAAATATAGCAAGCAGAGCATTAACAAACACTGGAGTAACAGAAGTATATTTTGGAAATTGCTCTTGCTTAACGAAATTAGTGGTATTAATTAGATACTGTCTTTCAAGTTTATAAAATTCAGAAAACTAAGCATATAACTTAATACTTTGTTTCTCAATAATCTTCATATCCAGGCACATTTGCCATTTTCTGAATTGACCATAATATATCTTGGGGGCATCCCATTTATAAAAGTATTTGTTGGATAGCTTTGTTAATGGAAAGAAGAGGAAGTCGGACTTTTGAGTAGAATATACTTCACTAGGAAAATTAAAATGGAGAAGAGTTTATTTGTTGTTTCTTTGAGTTTCCATAAGATGTAATCTCTTTCCTAAAGTCAGAGTTGTATTAAGTGCCAGAAAATGTTCCCTAAACAGATCCCAATATGATATCATGGCAGAGAAATGCCACGTAGCAGATGGCATGTTGGGCTTAGCTAAACTTTTGCAAATTCAGGATTCCTGCAGTAGCTTTCTGTCTCTTAGGCTACATACTGTAGCACCCTTTCTTGTGGATTAGTACTTTTGTGTGTGTGTGTTTTGAAAAAATTACAAACTTAAAGAACAATTGCAGGAATCTGAATTCCCACATACTTTTCATCTAGATTCACCAATTGTTACCATTTTGTCACATTCACTTTACCACTCTCTATATAGTATTATTATTTTATTTTTGCTCAACAACTTAAGAGAGTAGGTTGCAGACATCTTAGACCTTACTCTTACTTACATTAGCATGTATTTCCTAAAAACAGACATTCTCTTATATAGTCACAGTACAAATGATTAAATTCAGGAAGTAGAACAGTGGTACAATAGTATTATCTATTATATAGTCCATATTAAAATTTTTGCTAGTCATCCCCAAAATTTCCTTTATAATGACTTTTTTTCCAACACAAGATCATGCATTGCCTTTAGTTGTCATGTAAGTTTTGTTGCTTTAGAACATGTCACTTTTGTTCAGATTTAGTGGGTGGTCTTTTGACTCATCTCCTGTAAGCTTTGTTGAAGGAAAAAAAGACATGGGGGATTTCAAGGTGGCTGCTTGCTAGAAAACCGAATTGCCCAGATAAGAGGGACTTTTTTGTTTTTAATTTTGAGAACTTTATCTGGGTTTTGGTGTCTTGACGCAGCAAAGTCTATAATGCAGCAAGGCTTGGTAAGCATTAAAGGGGGTACTGAAGCTTTCCTTTATTTCATAATCCCACTTGTTTTTCTAGAACCATCAATAGCCTCTAAATGACTGACTCAATTTTTGGATCCTATTCTCATGACTAAGCAAATGTTTGATTTGAAACCAGCCCAGTATAAATGTCTCTGTGCCTCTAACTCTCTGTAGCTATTCCTGGATTTCAGTACTGGGGAAACCAATCTATGCTCCAAAAATGTCTAAAACTGGAACCAAGGTAAGTAAACGGTCATGCTGATTTTTGGCCTACCCACCTTTTTTTCCCCTAATGATACATTGAAAGAAACATGGAGAAAAGCTTTTGCTTCTTTGCCTGGAGGTGAGTATGTTAGTGGTTAGAAGGCAGGAATTGAGAGAAAAGATTAAGAAATGCTTATTATATTTTCTAACTGTAATAGAATTACCAAATGGTTTGTTAAGGGTTTATCTTTATGTGTGGTGCTATGTTGAACACTATCCAGGTATATAATGTGTAAGTATCATCATGATTTCTGCCTTCCAGCAACTAATATTCTTGCATTTCCATAGGAATAGTACATGCTGATAAGAGGATTATGTGGAGTAGACAACTTTTAGTATTCAATTTGTTTTGTGAAATTTAGCCTCAACCATTAATATTCTAAAAGGCCAAGGTGGATGGACCAATCACGTGAATTAAATCCTACATCTCCCCTGTATTCAAGCAGTTACTTGTAGCCCTTCCTCCAAATAAAGTGCTTACATTAGGAAAATTGCCTCTAAAATACTTGATTCACAGTTGTTGAACTGGAATGCGACCTCTCAGGAGGTCTTTGGGAATGAGGGCAGCTACCTTCATTCTCGTTTAGCTCTTTCAGTGACTAGGGGTCTAAGGCAAAGCCTGATTTCCCCCCTAACTTTTTACTTTGAAAATTTTCAAACCCCTTGAATCTTACAAGAATAATAAAGAATGTTGAACGAACACTTGTATATTCTTGACTTATATTCTTCAACTATTGGCATTCTGCCATATTTGGTCCCTCTCTCTGTCTTTCTCTTTTTACTAAACCATTTGAAAATAAATAGACTGAATATGTCGCTGTATTTAGGCATGTATCTCCTAAAAACAAGGGCATTCCCCTGTGTAAACATAATATCATTATCATGTCCCCTAAATTTATCAGAAATATAATACCTAATTTTCAGACTATATTCAAATTTCCAGTTGCTGCCAAACCTGTGCCTCATGGCTGGCTTTTCCCCTGATGTAGGACCCAGTAAAGGATCATGCATTGCATTTCGCTGTCATGTTTCTTTAGCCTCTTTTTTTTTCTTTAGTCTCTTTTATGTAGAACAGTCCTCCTACCTTTTTGTTGTTTGAGACATTGACATTTTTCAAAGTCCAGACCAGGTGTCTTGTAGAAAGTCCCCAAATCTGGATTTGTCTGATTGTTTCCTCCTGTTTAGAGTCAGACTAACCATCTTTGGCAAGAAAGTTACACAGGCAGTGTCAAGTATTCCCCATGGCCTTGTGTCAGGAGGCACCTGTTAACTGGTGCCATAACTGGTTAGTGCCTGATTTTTTTTCTGTTTGGAAAATAGAACTAATAATCATGCTTGTCATCTAGAAGTCTGGTGAGAAAAATGAGATGGTGTCTTTAGTGCTCTGAGCTTCTTGAAAATCTGCCATAAAAATCCCCCTAAAAAGAATTTGAAGTCCTTAGAGGGATATCCATGTGCTTGAGGGAAAACTGTTCCAGAACCGTCTATGAAAACATCCCCAGCCTTCACAGATTTCCATAGTAATAGTGCTCTCTCTTGTTTCTTGTAGCTGGGCTGTTCATTTACTTAAATAACTTTTGCTTGCTAGGCCAAAGGAGGTAGTAAATTATCTCTTACTCTTTCTCTTATTGCTTCTTCCTTTCCCACTATCTTGCTAGCAATTTAATCAGAAGAGTTATGGGCTTGGCAAAAGCCATACATTTTACTAAGTTTGTTTTTGTTACCTCTGGAATACTCAAGACATTTTTCTTTCTGCTGTATTGGATTAGTAAGCTATTTAAAAAAAAAAAAAAAAAAACATGAGAGGAATTTTGTAATAATTTCTAGGAAAATCTCCTGCACATTTCTTAGCTTTCTCTACAAAATTTTTTGCCCAAGAGTCCAAACCTTCTCTCAGCTGACCATAGTGTGAATATCATGGTCCTTCTACAAATGGAAATTGAGTGGAGGTGCAATATTCTCTGGGCCCTGAGATTTGGAAGGTCTCCCTCTGAAAGGAGAGCTTGGTTCTGGAGCTCAGTAATGGTTCCATGTGCTTTGTTTCAACCTTAGGATGGTTGGCTGGTCTGCTGGGAGGGTGAACAGCAAGTGATCTTATAGAACATTTTGTATATTTCCATTTCTCAGTTATTGGTGTCAGTCAGGCCAATGTGCAGAGGGCAGTAAGTGAGAAACAATGAAGTAAAAAAGATGACATTAACTTAATATCCTGTAGCATATCCCTTGCAAAGCCTCTTTTATGGTGAATAGTTGACCAAAAACAAAAGGTAAATTGAATTAAGGCATTTAGAATCTATCCATTCTTAGAGAAGTTATCTTGATTTTCCTAAAGATCTTTCCACAGATTTTGGGAAAAACCCCTCAGACTCAGGGTCAGTCTTGTTCCATTTCTAAGAAAGTAGATGGTGTATGCTGAACAGAGCTAGCTGTGCAGGTAGGAAGACAGCAAAGGGAGATAAGGTAAAATAAAATGAACCACAGCTTACTAACCAGTTTTGCACCGCAGTCCACTCACTTGCCTGTGACCAACTTGTAACTAGCTAGTGACCTTAGGCAAGTCATTTAACTTCTTTATCTGTAACAACTGTAGCAAAGTTTATTGGCAGTTTTGAGCCAGATATTGAACTAAGTGCTTTATCGGCATTACCCGATTGGGCCCTCAGGACAACATTCTGCGGTGGATGTTATTATCCAGTTTTACAGATCGAAGAGCCTGAGCTTTGGAGAGAGGTTCAATGGCCTGTCCAAGGTCACAGAGCTAGTAACTCATGTGCTGTGATTTCGTTTTCTTCTGTAAACTGGGGTACCGTGTATCTCTAAACTGTGCTGTGCTAAAATGGGAAAGGGAGCTGGAAGAGATAAATTTGGGAAGGGAAGAAAGGTGAAGTAGATGATTTAGGGGTGGGAAGGGGTAAGGAAGCTATTAGGGACAAGAGAATAGAAGAGTTGAGAGAAATGAGAAGGTTTGGCAGGGGCTAGGAGGAGATTAAGGTGGAAGGAAATAATTATTAGTAGGTTACTATCTAGAAAGACTCACCTGGGGTAGGAAAGAACAAGTTTTTATGCTCGTTTGAGGGTCATTCTTGGTTTCTTCCTCTCCTTCATTCCCTACATCTGATTAGTCACCAAATCCTGCATTTCTTCTGTTTCCTCATCGCCATTCCCATGGCAGTGCCTTGCAGTTGGCCCTCATCGTGTCTCACCTCGCCATAGCAACCATCCATTTCCAGGCACAAACCACTACATTACATCTCCCGCACAATCACCAGAGGGATTCCAGCATGGTTCCTGTGACCCTTCCCTGCCTTTATTTCCTAGTACTTCACCACATACTCTGTACGCACCAGGCTTAATCAACTACTTGTCCCTATAATGGGCCATGTCCTTTCACTCCTTTACTCCTTTGAACAGGCTATCCTTTTTCCTTTGCCTCTGGAAAACCTCTGCCTATCCTTCAATCCTCACCTCAAACATCCTCTCAAGACAGCCTGCTCCTTTCATCTGAAATGGCTGACGTGGTTTTCTCCTTTTAAACCAATAAAGTAAATTAGCCACAAGGTGGCAGCATAACGCTAGGGAATTAACTGCTGGAATCAATGACACCTGTGATTTCAGTTTAAATTATAACCTAGCGTTGATCCCGGACTGTGGGATTATAGAACAAAAAAGGACAAACTCTGTAGTCCATTTGGTCTAGTGGTTTGCAGACACTGCTTCATGAAGCCCTAGGAGTTCCTGGAAACTCTATCTCCTGTTTCAAGGAAAAAAGTTTTATTTTGCAACCAGGGATTCCAATCTAGTCCAATCCTTTCGTTTGACAAATGGGAAGCTGGAGCCCAGAGAGATGGCTTCCCTAAGTGATGGAGCTGACTGATTGTAGAGATGCAGCTCGAGGGCCCAGGTTTATTATTTCCTGTTTCTCGGGGCTGCACATTTTCCAGTGCCATCAGAGGTCTCAGAGGTTTACCCCAAAGATTGTGGTAGAAACTTGTTAAGAGTTTGAAGCAAAGGACGTTCTTGCCTTGTCATTTTGTTACTTTGCAACTACTCTGTTGGCAATAAAATAATCATATAGAACATTATATGATATATTTTCATGTGTGTGCGCTCTATATCCATCTAAAATAAGCTCTCTAAGCTAAGGTCTATGTTTTATTTTTCTCTATACATCTTCCATATCACCTAGAACGAATTTCTGCATTTGGAACTCACTCATCTTCATCAAACATTTATTGAGGGTTTGTCAGGTGCTGGGAACGGGTCCATGGCTTAAATAAGGCTTGACCCTTGCCCCTGGAAGAAGTCTAGTAGGAGTCTGATGGGAGAGACAGATATATAAGTGGATAATTTATGATATAATGTGGCAAGTGCAGTGAGCTGTGGGAACAAAAAGAGGAAGCGATGAACTTGAGTCTGAAGCTGCTGGCATTTGC